GCTGTGGTAACCCCCCTGTCTGTCACTGGGGTGATGACCTGTCTCACTGTCTCAGTGCTGTGGTAACCCCCCTGTCTGTTACTGGGGTGTTAACCTGTCTCGCTGTCCTGCAGCTCCTGAACAAGCCGGTGGAGTTCGAGAAGGCTGTGAGGAAGGTGCTGCGTGACGTCAGACTGGACAATGACATCGTGGTGTCCGTTTTCGAGACCAACATCCGAGTTCTGGGGTGAGGGGCTGGAAGATGGAGTGGCTGAGGGTGCATGAGTGCACAGTGGATCCTGAGAAGACTGGGATTGTCAGTCAGTGCCATCGGTCAGGGCTTTCATGCCCAGTAACTCGCTTTTTCTTAGAAAAGGATATCGATCATGTTAATATAATAACTCTTCATATAAATGCAGTGCATCTCCCCAGTCATTACATGAAGTTCAGAAGACTGCAGTCACTGTAGGAGACGGTGTGCCTCTGTGCCCAGCTCCCCCGAGAGGAGCTGGCCTGCAGCTGCTCTAGGGCTGCACAGATGGAGCGGTAGGTGTGACGGTCTCTGTGTGTACCTGTGTTAGGGGCCTGCTGGGGGGCCACTCAATGGCAGTGATGCTGAAGGAGCAGGGGACTCATATGAGTTGGTACCGTGACGAGTTGCTGGCCATGGCCAAGGACCTGGGTTTGCGCCTGCTGCCTGCCTTCAACACCTCCAGTGGCCTGCCCTACCCCAGGGTGAGTGTCCCCGAAGGTAGCGCCAGTACTCTACCACAGCAGCGCTGGTTTACTCCCATAATACTGTGTCGTATCAACAACACTCAACCCCACTGTAAACAGTACCCCCAGAAACACCCCACATCATGCTGGACTGCGACAATGACACACTGCTTCAGGAAGCACTCCAGCCTGTGGCTGGGCTGTGCGTGCGGCTCTTTGGCCGGGCTGCCTGAGTTTGCGGGCGGCCAGCTCTGCCAGTGACCAAGCCAGGACGCCTCTCTCCGGTCCCTCCGCAGGTGAACCTGCGCCATGGCGTGCGAAGTCCCGAGGCGAGGACTGGCACCGAGACAGACACCTGCACGGCCTGCGCTGGCACCATCATCCTGGAGTTCGCCGCCCTGAGCCGCTTCACCGGAGACCCTGTGTTTGAGGTGGGGGGGCAGGGAGGGGGTATTCTACACAGAATAGCCTGTGTAGGAAGTGGGGGTGGGTCAAGGAAGGGGTACTCTACATGTAATACCCTGTGTGCGAAGTGGGGGGGTATTCTACACTGAATAGCCTGTGTGCAAGGTGGGGGGGGGCAGGGAATGGGTACTCTACACAAAATAGCCTGTGTGTGAGGTGGGGGGAGGCAGGGAGGGGGTATTCTACAGAGAATAGCCTATGTGTGAAGGGGGGGTTGTCAGGGAGGGAGTATTCTACACAGGATAGCCTGTGTGCAAGGTGGGGGGGGCAGGGAGGGGGTATTCTACACAGAATAGCCTATGTGTGAAGGGGGGGGTGGTCAGGGAGGGAGTATTCTACACAGAATAGCCTGTGTGCGAGGTGGGAGGTGGTGTTCTACATAGAATAGCCAGTGTGTGGGGCAAGAAAGAGGCAGAGACGGATGTTACAGCGACTTGAGGGGCGGAAAGCTCAGCTCCACTGCAGAAGCTACACTTGTGGGGAGAGAGGGGAAGGGAGGGGACAGAAGGGGGGAGCAGACACTGTCAGGCTGTCAGTGCTGTCGATGTGGGTGTCATTAACGGTTGATTGCCTCCCCAGGAGCACGCCCGCAGGGCTCTGGACTTCCTGTGGGAGAAGCGGCAGAGGAATAGCAACCTGGTGGGCACGACCATTAACATCCATTCCGGGGAGTGGGTCCGAAGGGGTGAGAGAGGGCGGACGAGGGGGGAGGGAGGGAGCAGACCCGAGAGACTGTGACCCTGTCATGACAAGTGTTGCTGGCTGAACAGTGCTCTTGTGCTGAGTGGGAGACGGAAGGTGATTTTCAGCCACCTCTGACGCGAATTGCAATTTTCTGGCTAGTAGTGCTGAGATACTGACTAGATGAGATCTTTAATACAGGAAAAGCTTGATGGTTCCTTACTGTACTGAATCACTAGTAAGGAGTAAGAATCTGTTATCCGGATTCTGAATAGCATATTAAATAATCCATTAATTTTCTTACAGGTTGTCACCGTTCATAGATGAGTGTTTCTTTACTTTCTGCATTCTTAGCTTGGGTTATTGTTATATAGCCGTTACAGAGAAATTTAAATCTGTTTCGGTGCAAACGGCCTGTTTAAAACATGTTTAAAAGAAATGGAAAGGAATGAAATTTGAAGACGGGCCCTGAATGATCCGACAAATCTTTTACACACTTTGTGCCCTGAGGATTTTCACTGTGGATGGAAATTCCAGTACATTACTGTTCAACCACTAAACACTGTTTGTCTCTTACATGCATGTGTTGCATATTATGCAGTTGTGCATAGCCAACCATATAGCTCCGTGGGACACTTACAGGGTTTTAATTTTACCATAAAATTAACTGAATTAATGCATAAAAAACTTCACCGTTACTTCAACTAGACTGTGCAGACAGCTCATCAGTGTAGTTTTGTGCATCAATATTTATCAGACGATAAATTATGCAACGTGTTTGTGTGCATAAAACAAACAACGAGCGAAAATAATACATATTTCTTTAAAATAATCTTAAAATGGTCTATGAATTGTTGCCACCATTCGTGTTACAGTTACTTTCTTCTGGTAATTCATGGAATAAAAACGCTACCTTGCAAGGTCACATGGAGTGATTGGTGTCAGGAATGGCTGACAGGTCTTCCGTTTTGGTTATTTCCCGAGTACAGCAATAGAGCCCTAAAGGTAGTGATGCACTGACTATTTTAGATACTGGGCTGTGCCCTGTGTTCATTTATTATATGACATTTTTAAGGAAATGATCATTAAAATATAGACTGTAGATTAAAGGGAAATGAAATGTTCAAGGAAGAGATGCAATGTGTCTAAATTGAACAGGATCTGTTATTATTGTTCAACGTTCTGCATGGATGACAATGTTCCGCTCATTAGATTCATCTGTAAGCCTAGTTGCTAGTGGAGGGTGGCAGGGAGCTGGTAATAAATTTAATAAATTTACTCGGAGAGCTGTGCAAAGCCTGGCCACCCACAGATCAATGCAGGTGGAGGAGGTATCCAAGACTGAAGTGGGGAAATTGCATCAGCTTTAACACTCGATGTATGTCTGCATGAGCACTGATGCGCTTTCATACACCATTAGGAACAATGTCAACAATCTATTATCACAGGTACTCCGTATACTTCCCAGATTTTTAAAATGTAAATAAAGAAAACCCTTTGGTTCTGAACCCTGTTCTCCTTTGGTTAAACAACATCGTTTAACCGAGAGAAGCAAGCGCACAGTAATTCAGTTACACACTCCATCTTGAGCCCAAGTCATCCCAGCCTGCAGGCTATAACCGAGATAATGGCCTACCAGCTGAAAATCATGAGTGTAATTATTAACAGCGTTTTGTAAATCAGTGCCACGTATCAGTTCAGCTGGCACTTAAGTAACAAGTGTTTGAAAATCCCACCCAGTATTGTGTTATTTGCTCTGCCAGTGGGTTGACTCCCTCTTTCTGTGTTGTGACCCTCAGACAGTGGCGTGGGAGCAGGGATTGACTCCTATTACGAATACCTGCTGAAGGCCTACATCCTGCTGGGAGACGAGCGCTTCCTGGAGAGATTCAACACTGTGAGTGTGACCCGTCCCAGGCGGCCTCTTTCTCACTGCCATGTTTAAAGCTCAGAGCTCTCCTAGTCCCTGTGCTGCTGAAGCAGCTAGTGCCCTCCGATTCTGCATGGACCCGTATCAGACAACGAGAACAAGAACAGCAATAATAAACAAGAATATCTTACTTCCCTCTCCCTCCTTCAGTAACTGCTCCTGCCTGCTCTGCTTGTCCCCTCTCATGGGGGAAGGAAGGTTTCTCAGAGGTGGCAGCCCCGTCAGAGGTCTGTTTGGGGCAAGAAGACTAACCTCACCTGTGTGTGAAGAACAAGTGGCAGCTCTGCTTTCTCAGCGCTCGGCCTGGCTTCCCAGCTGTGGTCATTGTGTCTCTCCCTGCTCCCCTCACTCACTCGCCATGGCTCCCTGTCTCCCTCCCAGCACTACGCCTCGATAATGAAGTACATCAGCCAGCCGCCCCTCCTGTTGGACGTTCACATCCACAAGCCCCTGCTGACTGCCCGCACCTGGATGGACTCCCTGCTGGCCTTCTTCCCAGGGCTGCAGGTACTGGTCACTGCTCGCACTCTGCCAGTGCTTATATATCACTGTTTAACTATCCACAGTTCATTCACTATATGACTCTCCTCATACACTAGCTAATAATATACTATACTAATCACATTTTACTCGCGCTCTCCTCGGTTCTCATGAGCACCTCGCTGCGCACTGTATCCCATATCCTCTTGCATCACTGCTCATTCACACTCTCTTCCGTCTGGCTCAGGTGCTAAAGGGGGATATTCGACCCGCTATAGAGACACATGAGATGCTGTACCAGGTCACCAAGAAGCACAACTTCCTGCCCGAGGTACCGTGACCATCTGCGATGTCAGTCTGTCTGCTTGTGTGCAGCAGCAGCGTCTGTGCTTTCATGCTGGTGCGCTGAAACTTGCTCTCTCTTCCTCTCAGGCGTTCACCACGGATTTCAGGGTCCACTGGGCTCAGCACCCGCTACGCCCAGAGTTTGCAGAGAGCACCTACTTCCTGTACAAGGTGAGATCGCTTAGCAGTCCCCTTCTCTCTTTCCTGTGTGTGTCTCTCTCTGCACCCCGCTCCTTCACTCAGCCTGTCCTGTGTGAATCGTGTCTTTCGGTTCTCACTGCCCCTCTTCCCCACCATTGCTGTGTCTGCTGCTCGCCTTCTTACCCTTCCTCTGCAACCTGGGATTCAGCCTGTGTCTCCCTGTCTCTCACTGTCGCCTTGCCCTCTCTCTGTCAGGCGACAGGAGACCCCTATTACTTGGAGGTGGGCCGGACTGTGCTGGAGAACCTGAACCGGTTTGCTCGGGTCCCCTGTGGTTTTGCAGCCATGAAGGACGTCCGGACTGGGAGCCATGAGGACCGGTGAGAGAGGGGAGGCCGTTCGGCCCGGCTGGCTCGTTGTTTGGGAGCAGAGTCAAATATCTCTCCTTGTTTCTTGAAAGAAGGATTGAGTAACGATTTCGGCAGCGTGTTTGGTAGCTTGTTCTAGATTCTCGCTATCCTTTCTGTAAGGAGTTCATGGTTTTAGATGGATGCCACTGGTACTGAACAAGTCTGGTTGGTCTCTATGAGGATTATGAATTTTTGAATCAGGTCTCTTTGTATTTGTTTCTGTTCAGGACTAGAAGGATTCAGGTCTGAGTAAAATATTCCTTTAAGCCCAGGAATGTATCTGCTTGCTCGTCTCTGGACTGATTTCAGTGCAGTCGTCTCTTTTATCTTGGCATCCAAAATTGTACACAATAACGAGTTCTTACTTGGTAATTGTTTTGACACAAAATACCTTGATTTAAATGTTAACTCTCAGGTATGTATTATAACATTGATTGCCTTTCCTTCTCTCCCCATCCCTCTTTCTCTTGTAGTATGGATTCATTCTTCCTGGCAGAGATGTTCAAGTACCTGTTCCTTCTGTTTGCTGACCCAGAGGACCTGCCCTTTGATGTGGAGGATTACATCTTCACCACAGAGGCACATCTGCTGCCCCTGTCCCTGTCTACTGCCAACACTACTTACACACTGGCTGTGTCTAATCACACGGTACTGTCTATCAGGCTGTATGTTAATATCCACAACCAACACTACACTGGCTGTCTAATCACACAGTACTGTCTATCAGGCTGTATGTTAATATCCACAACCAACACTACACTGGCTGTCTGATCACACAGTACTATCAGGCTGTATGTTAATGTTTAATCAGTATTACATCCATGTAGGCTGCTTTTAAAAACATGCTTCTGACGTGCCTGAATGCTGTTATTGTCTACAGCAGGGCTGTCTAGTCTAGGTCCCGGAAGTTCAGCATTTCTGCAGGTTTTCATTCCATTTAAGCTCTTAAAGAGATCTTGGATCTTTATTGGCTCAATTGAACCAATTTTCTCGGTCGCTCAAGTGTTAATGATTGAAAGAGACATACCACTATCCCAGTACCAGGACTGGACAATCCTAGTCTGCAGCTGGCTTTTGCAGACTTTTTAAATGAACTTTTAAATTAAAGTGAAGATAGAGAGTTGAACTTGCAACCTTAGGGTTGCTAACACGACACATACAAAACCACAGGCTGTTTGCACAGTACGAGTTCTTTCTCTGACCCGCATTTTGTCTTCTCGTGCCTCTTCACTGCCAGTGGCATTTATACAAAAGCTCGCATGAAGGAGACAGCTGGTTCTTCTCTAAAATACCTCTTTTTCATTTTCATGCGTTAAATGAATTTCTTTCACCAAGAAGCCAAACTTAACTCTCCCCTGTCATCTGTCTCCCTCAGTTAGGGGAGAGTTCACTCTCGGACACGGACGACTCAAATTTCGACTGGTCCTGCCCCAACACACAGCTGCTGTTCCCTGATCCCTCCTTCCCGCAGTCCATCCGCGAGCCGGTCAGGAGCGCCGTGGACAAGAGCTGCCCTCGCCCGGCCCCCCCAAGGTGAGAAACGGACGGGGGCGTTGGGGGCAGGCTGTGGAGGTGGGAAGAGGAGGGATGAGAAGAGAGAGGTAGGAGGTGGATTGGAAGTGATTAGTTGTTGAGTCAGGGAGGAGGGGGAAGAGTGTCAGTGAGCGAGACGGAGAGCGTCAGAGCCTGGGAGGAATCCAGCATAAGTCTTGACCGCTCAGTGAACCAGTGAGAGAATGTGCACTGTCGAAATTCCGACTCCTAAGAGGAAAACACTTTCCTGCTGTTCACTCTCGATTTTCCTCCGTTTTTCCCTTTCCGCCCCTCTCCCAGTGACGGGGGCTCTGCGGGGCGCCCTCCCCTGCGAGCGCGGGACTTCATGGCCAATAACCCCGAGCACCTGGAGCTGCTGAAGAGGATGGGAGTCAGTCTGATCCACCTGAAGGATGGGAGAGTGCAGCTGGTGCAGCATGCCACTCAGGTAATCTTGACACACCTGCGCAGCACCCAGGCTACATGGTGACTCTCCCGGCACGGCACGCCACGCCAC